TGTGCCCATTTATTGATCACTCTCTCCCTTTTGATTCACAAGATGCTGTGTGTCTTCCACTGTAGTCTATCAGTCTTGGCCCAAGATGTGTCTTTTAATATCCATGAGTATCTTTATAATGGAATGGCACTGAGGAAGCCATACATTCTACTTTCTCTATTTTCAAACAAGGAAGCTGAGATGCTGAGATGACTGACTATTGTATCTGATACTTAGTGACTGGCATTCAAGATGTAGGATCCAGTTTGAACTTGGTTCCAACAGTCGTTTCTACACTTCAGTATATGACCTGCAGAGCAAAGCCATTCATGTGTCTCTACTGTCCCAGCTAGCTTATGTGCTCTTCCAAAGTATGAATTTTATTTCCTGTTCTTGTGAAGCCTATATTGTGCTTCCTATGGGACTGGGCACCAAGCAGACGATAAACGCTTGGATCAGCTCCTTTATTTGGCCCCACTCTGCCCTACCCAGGTAGACTTCATAGCACCTCCGTTGGTGTGGCAGCTTCCAGGGTAAGTTAGGGCCGCTGGCTTCTTCTAACTGTCCTATTCATAGCAACAGGGTCAAGTGTGTGTTTAGTGCCTCCCTAATCTCCAGATAACATCTCAGAGCAAAGTTTAACTCACAGCAATGAAACCTTCTCTCTTTTCCTGTTTCCTTCGAATAATGAACACTTTTCTGTGGAAAACTTAGCAAATATTGCTACATCTTACACCCAGAAGACAGAAGCCTTTGGATGTAGTCCCCACCCTACTTTCTTGTTTTCTAAATGTATCTCCATTTTCTATGGTGATTACATTTTGCCTCAATCCCATCAACATATCCTTTTTTAAAATTTTTGCTTATTTATTTATTTATTTATTTAGCCAGTATTGTTGAATCTGACTTCTCTACAATAGTGATCAACTAGATACCATGTCTTAGACTTATCTTTCTATTCTCTTCTGTCCTGTTGGCTAATTTTATTGAAATAAACATAAGCGAGGTTCGTTCTCATTCCTAGATGCAATAAAAGAGACGTTGTCTGTGCTTTCTTCATGGCGTTTGCCCTTATAACTCAAAAGAAAAAGAATTTCTACTCTAGCTTTTATTTTCTGTGAACTTGCAGACTTCTCCTACTTGGATTTCCAACTCTTAAAAAGACTTTAGTCATTTTACTTGTCTGGTTCCTGGTAGTAAATATCACACTGAAAGTGTTAATTTAATAAAGTGATCTTAAGCGAAGCCATGTAACCCTGTGGGGGACATTAAGGGAGCTAAACGTAGTTGACAAAGCATCCAGGCTCCAGCTGAAGTAGAGAGGCGGATGGAGAGAGGAGTGTCTGCAGAACCAAGAAAGAACTGGAGTCGCCTGTGAGAAGTAAATTAACCTGTTAGTCTATGGGTCCGCAGAGAGCATGGAGAAGGCTTTCCCTTATTTCTCAATCCCTTTGCCCTTTGCATACCACTAATCTCTCCCATTGACTGGTGTGACCCTAGAACAAAGGGAATGAAACCCAGGGAGTTTAGTTTATTGAGGTCCATCTTCCACACAAGCGCAAAGCAAGGCAGAGAAGGGAAAGACATGGATCCACTGAGAGGTAACGAAGATGGCTGCTGACAGTTTCTCTGTGGAGCTCTATCCTGCAAGCACATCAGACATCATCATCAGAGCAGCTGGGACCAGCTGTAAGGGACAGACAAGGTCACACTAGTTGATGCTCTCTTGTGGAAGGAGAGAGTCAGGAGGATCGTTAGATTTCCACCTGAGATTTCAGCCGGTCCTTGCTGAGCCTTCTTGTGAGCCATAACTGATGCTGCCCATAACGCATGCTGCCTTGGGAAGATCGAGAGAAGACAGAAAAAGTGGACAGAGGAATCTACCTATGCAGCTACGAGCAAGTCTTCATTTCTGCATGGATGAAAGTTTTCAGTGATATGGTTATTTTGGGGACACTGTACACCCGTAAATAACCTGTACCTACACTAATCCCAAGAGACTCACTAACTCACCAAGCTAGATCTGGGTGAGTCCTTAGTTTGGTTTCCCCAACTAGGGTGAATGGACACTTGTTTATGTTTCCCCAGGAAAAGTTCACCTAATAGTTACTACGCTTACAAAACTTTTGGGAAGTATTTTATGTTATTTTTCTAAAGTTTTTTAATCCCTTTGAAATCCATATGCCATTTCCTACTCTCTTTCACCAGTTCCTTTAAAAGGAGATAGAAAACCTTCCTGCTTGTGTTTTAGGCTCTTCTGAATGCAAAGAGGTGGGGCAAAGACAACTGATCCTCCTGTTCCAAGGGCTCAGCAACCAGCATTCCTTTTTGTTTCTGCCATGCCCCCACTTCTTACATCCTTGCAATCTTCTTCTTTGATTTATTGTTTCTCTGGGGAACAATATCCATCCCTAGAGCTTTTGTTTTCACATAATTCAAAATTTCAAATCATCATTGCAAATCCAGATTATTGGCAAAGGGTTCAACGCCCCCCAAACACAGTCCTCAATCTTTTTACACTTACCCAACCTCTTCTCTTACATTTCCTGTCCTCTGCCTACCATGAGGGGAGCCAGGTTGGGGTTTTGCTCGGTTTGGGGATGCTATGATCTGTTTTGCTCAGGTATGTATCACAAGTGACTGTCCTGATATCTGGCACATAAGAGACAGTCGATAAATATTTATTGAGTAATGACTGAAGAGTTTCCAGTGGAGTCAGATGACTCTTCTCTCCAAATGTGTGACCTTCCTTAGTTCTGTCATTCTTGCATAATCGCTCCCGTCTGTAATCCAATGTTCTTCTGAGACTCATCTTCCATCATCTTCTCTGAGCGACCTTTATCCGCCTCTACACAAAGCCTGCAAAGTGCTTTGATGAATTCAAGCAGATAAACATAGAGCTAGAAACCAAATGTATGCCTTAGTCCTTCTCAGTTTTTAGAGCTGTATATTACCAATGCATCCCAATGTTCTCTTTTCAAGAAAGAGCATGTTGCCTCTTCGGTTCTATAGATCTAGTGTATTGTCAGAGGGTATAATTGAATGGTCTATGCCAGGTGACCTCAGTGGGATACACCATTACTTGAATTCTGAAATCTACACAACCTGCCGTTAGTTAACTCATTTATACTCACGAAGCCACATGAATCTACCTCCACATTCTCATGGAAACTGATTTCTGTAGACAACAAAACATCAAGAATAAGTACAGGGGTCTAAGGTAAGTTTCTACTTAATGTGTAAGTATTAAAAGTCTACATGGAGACAATTGAAGTTTATTTGTAACGATTCAGCTGGACCTGGTTTTGACCCAATTTACCATACCCATGTGTTAAACATCAGCAGCCACAGCCAGGTTGGCTTCAGCAACGCTGGTCTGGCTGCCTCCTCTATCCCTCCCCTGACATATTGTGAGGACCCTGCTTCTGCTTCTCTCTTTATGATCTGGCCTTGGTTTCTGACGCACCCTAGGAAACTGTAAAGAGTAGAACACACATGTAGCTTACAGACCCTCTCTATGCAAATTAATTCCCCTGACACAGACTATTACAGCCTCCCATTTCCTTCAGCTGGCAACAGGATAGAACTTGAGAGAACTGCAGCATCCTCCGAATCTTTATAAATTTACAATTGGGAAAACCGGATTAATGCAGATGATGGGATTTAAATGGTGGTTTGTTGTTTGCCAAAACAATCTGCTTCTTCCCCGTGACATGCAGCTATTCTTTTCCAGCCTCTATTAAACCCATGCTATGCGACTTACTTTGATCAGAGGATTCTAAACAGAAGTGAGGTGCATTATCGCAATGCTTCTTGTCCCATAAAAATCTATGCTTCTAGATCCATAATTTTTCCCTAGCGTGGATTAATGCAGATGAACAGTGGGGTGGTTTGAATGAAAATGGCCCCGTAGTTGGACTTTTTCACTGGGACTGTGGTTCCTGAATAAACAACACAGAGACTTATTAATTGTGAAGCTCGACCATTAGCTTAGGCTTGTTTCTAACTATTCTATAACTTAAGCTAACCCATGTCCTTTCAGCTGCCTCCTTTTTATGTAGCTTACTTACCTTTACTTTGTACTGCTCATCCTGCTTCCTCTGCATTTGGCTGGTGACTCAGCCTTTCTTTTTCCTAGAGCTCTCTCTGTCCTGAAGTCCCTGTTATACTTTCTGCCTACTTATTGACTGTCTAGCTTTTACTAAACCAATCACAGTGACACATCTTTACACATTATAAAAAATATTCCAAAACATTTTCTTTTTTTTACCTACATGTGTAACCAGTCTTTCTCTGTCCCGCTTGCCAGTTCCCAAATAACCACAAAGAAACTTATTAATTATGAAAGCTCGGCCTTAGCTTAGGTTTTATTTTTAACTAGCTTTTATAATCTAAATTAACCCATATTTTTTGAAAGTAATTTTATTAAATTATAAAAGTTTCCATTTCCGCCCCTCCTCCCACCACTCTCCCACTCCCCCACTCCCTCTCCTCCTCCCTCTCCATCCCTAAGAGCAGTCAGGGTTTCCTGCCCTGTGGGAAGTTCAAGTTCCTCCCCCCTCCCTCCAGGTCCAGGAAGGTGAGTGTCCAGACAGACTGGATCCCCAAAATCCAGTATATGCAGAGGAAACAAGTCCCAGTGTCATTGTCAATGGCTTTTCAGAAAGACTCCGGGCCAGCCACATTCAGAGAATCCGGCCTCATTCAGAGAATCTGGTTGGATCGCGTCCTCGTTCAGTCCCAGTCCAACTGGCCTTGGTAAACTCTCATTAGATCCGTCCCCTTGTATCAGTGGGTGATCGCATCCCTCGCAGTCCTGATTTTCTTTTTCATTTTCTTCCTCCTTCTGCTCCTCATTTGGACCTTGGGGGGCTCAGTCCGGTGCTCCAATGTGGGTCTCCGTCTGTATCGCCATCCATCCTCAGATGAAGGTTCCCTCTGGTCTTGCCTTCTTTGCTCACGTTCTCTTTCCTTCTGCTTCTCGTTTGGACCTAGGGAGTTAAGTCCAGTGTTCCGATGTGGGTCTCTGTCTCTATCTCCATCCATCGCCAGATGAAGGTTCTATGGTGATAAGCAAAATATTCATCATTATGGTTATGGGCCAAGGCCGTTTGAGGCACCCTCTCCTCTGTCCAGAGAACAATCTGGGGATCTCATATTTTTAAATCTACATTCTTCCATGTGCTTGCTGCCTCATCTCCATTATGCCCATCTCGGCTATTCCCCATTTGGCTGGCAACTCTACTTTCTTTTTCCCAGCTTCCTCTCTGCCTGGAAATGATGTCTAGCTATTGTCTATTCAGCTTTTTATTAAACCAATCAGAGCGACACACATTCACAGTGTATGAAAAAGATTATCCCACAAGAGGTCCTATAGGCCCATAGGGAATGGCACTATTAAGAGATTTGGCTTTGTTAGAGTAGGTGTGGTCGATTGGGGGAAATGTCACTGGAGGGTAGGCTCTGAGATTTCAGAAGCTCAAGTCCGGCCTAGTGGTTCACTGTTTCTTCCTGATACCCTCAGATCCGGATGTAGAACTCTCAGCTACTTCTCCAGCACCCTGTCCGTCTGTGTGACACCAGACTTCCTGCTAAGATGTAACGGACTGAATCTCTGAACTGTAAGTCTGCCCCAATTAATATATGTTCCTTTAGAAGAGTTGCCATGGTCATGTTGTCTCTTTACAGCAATAGACACCCTAACTAAGAAGCACAGTAACTTGAAGTTACAAATTTCTACCACTTCAGATGTTGTAGCAATTTATGGGTTTAAAGAAAATGCTGTTTAAAAAAAAGGGTGGCATAGATGGTGGGAAGTGATGCCACTGAGTGGTATAAAGGTCTTAGTGGTCTGTACTGGCTGACGAAGTTGGAGAGATTGACCATGCTAACTTCCTCCTGAAAGCAAGATATGGTAACGAAGTGCAATCTGGGTTTTCCTTGGCTTTCTCTAGACCTTGTCACGCATAGCCTGTGATGTAGACAGGGCAGTTCAACAACAGAAACACACAAGCAAAAGCCCAACTTGTCTCCACTAGTCACAGTGTTTTGTTTAGTTGTGAAAAGCCTCTAACTCTTTGTTGTCTTGCTGTGTCAAATATTTTCCTTCCAGGAAAAAAAAAATTGTTCTTCATTTGTGTAAGTCAGTCCTTTCTGAGAAGGCTATTTTAGCCAGCACTACCTAAAAATTAATATATTTTTGCTGATGCTTCATAACTTCAATTATGCTACTGTTATGAATTGCAATGTAAATATCTGTTTTTGATGTTCTTAGGTGATCACAGTGAACGGGCCTGTTGACCCTCTAGGTGGAAGTTTCTGTCCTTCAGTCAGCTCCCAAATAAACACACTGAGGCTTATATTAATCATAAATGATTCACCAATAGCTCAGGCTCTTACTAGGTAACTGTTACATTTTAAATTAACCCATATTTCTTATCTATGTTTTGCCATGTGGCTTGGCACCTTTTTTCAGTATGGCATGCCCATCTTGCTTCCCTGTGTCTGCTGGCGACTCCTCTGATCCCGTCCTTCTTCTTTTCAGCATTCTCCTAGTCTGGCTCTCTTTCCTCATCTCTTCTTGCCCAGCTATTGCCCAGAGAGCTTCTTTATTAAACCAACCATGGTGATATATATCCGCACGGTGTAAAGGAATATTCCACAGAGCCCAAGGGTTGTAACCCATAGGCTGAGAACTACTGTATTGGTCTCACCAACACGACTACACAAACAGAAGTTAAACAAGGACAACAACAGAAATAATAAGGTTGACAGGGGAGAGCCCAATCAGGCCTCAAGTTTATACAGAGAACTACAGGTAGCTAAAGTATGCTGAGAGCACGAGAAATATCATTTCCAGGTAAAACTACACCAATTAGTTATCCAATACCAACTGGTCAGCCCTGAAAGCACATCCACAAGTAACATTGTATAGACTAAGCAGACTGTATTTATATATTTAGAAAAATATGTATATGTATGTATATATATATACATATATGTATATAACAGTGATTAATGTAAAAGAGGCCATTGATTTGAAAGAGAGCAAGGGGGATGTATGGGAGGGTTTGAAGAAAAAAAAAAGGGAAGGGAGAAATGGTGAAATTATAGTCTTGAAAAGTAAAATAAATAGTTTTTTTTTAAATAAAGTAATTTGAGATGAAGTCAACTGAAGCCAGTACCATCTAGGAGGTAAGATGTAAAAATTAAGATACACTATTGGCCAAGAGTTTTAATCTTGCCTTCTGAGAAAGTAACATTGTGTAATTATGTCAAGCAGATTGGGGTGTAGAATCCTGGCTTATATTCCTTCTGGTGTCAGAATCAAGCCCAAATCACTTGACAGAGCTACTAACCACGGTTTTCGTGGGAACAGTCCCCACAGGTGCTGTACGCAGCATGGCCAAGAGAACGTGGTGGTCACTTTCTGGAGGATCAGCAGAATTTCTCTGTGCAAGGCTTTCTTTATGGCCAGATAACTCAGTGATTAGACTTGAGAAACCTGAAAGGAAAGAAGGGCAAAGTGTGACTGTCTGAGGAGGTTTTCCGCAAGTCAGTCCAGAGCCCTCATGGCGTAGTGTCGTCTTTTCAAGTCCTGGCACAATGTTTTTTATAGAGCTTTACGGTAAGAAACAGAAAACTAAAGAGGAGAAAGAAAACTGATATAAGATCACAAAGTATGGTGTGACATTCTGTGCTTGCTCTTCATCATTAAGTAATATAATCAATAAAAGAAATTCCAGGGTCTTACATATAAGGATATAATTCAAAGTATTTACTTAGCCTTGGAGGATTGATCTCATTGCTCACAATAGCAACCAGAGTTTCTATAAAAAAGTATGCAATATGATACCATAAAGGTTATATTTTGAGTCAAACGTAGTTGCTTCTTGGGTGATCCATAATTAGTGACCAAATAGAATTTGAATATTGTTAGTGTTTTGATGTATTTATAACACAATTTATCGTGGCACTGACTTTGACCAGTTAATAAGCTGTGCAATTTTCTTTTGCTTATTCCTTTCAGGAATGCTGTTGGGGTACACATTACCTTCATTACTAAATTAAATTTTTATTTAATACTCTGTAATACACTTGGAGCTGACTCCTCTTTTTGAGCGGGTGAGATAGGGTTTCCCTGTGTAACAGCTCTGGCTGTCCTGGAACTTGTTCTGTAGACCAGGCTGGTCTCAGACTCATAGAGATCCACCTGCCTCTGTGTCCCAAGTGCTGGGATTAAAGGTCTGAGCCACCACTGCCCAGCCTGGCATTTCTTAACTTGTGCATCTGTGGGGTCAACTTAGATTCAGATTCAGTAACTGATAAGTGCTCTAGAAACATGTTATGTTGTAAATTGAAAGGTCTGGAAATCCTTTTCACAACAGGAAATGAAGTAGCTTGTCTGCGTCTGCTTGACCTTACGAAATATAAACACACTCAGAAACAATAAGGCAAGGATGTTCCACACTTTTTCTTTATTTTTAGCATTAACACAAAATGGATTTCATGCAAACTTTACTACTTTTTCACTGTAAAATATTTTAAATGTTGAATTAAACAATTTTAATGAGGTTTAATAACTTTCATACTGCATATTCTGTGATGGCATCCCTTAGAAAAGTTCTGGACAAAATACAGAAAATCTTTACTTAAAGTTGTAGCAAGAAGTAGGCAATCCTCAGGTTCCATAAACAAAGAAGAGATGATAATGAGAGGGGAAAGGAAAATGGTGGGTATTACCTGTAGTTATGGACGTGTCTTTCATTCAGCTAAAGATATACTTGCTCTTGGCCATGAACAAACAAATGACAATGAGGTTGTATCTGGGAAGCTGGGAATTAGCACAAAGACCTAGAGATCCAACAATACCTTAGAGGGTTGCATCTCTAATTAAAGGGTAGAGAGGAAGAAAGTCTAAGCTAAGAGGCCAACAAGTTTAAAATTAATGTAGGCCTCTGTGTGTTTCTTTGGGACTGAATGACTGCAGGACCCAGAGGGACAGAAACCACTGTCAACAGGTATCTGTCATTAGTATTAGTTGTCCATCGAAACTTGGTTGCAAGATGAAGAGGAAGCAAGATGGATCTTGAGTCCTCCCTGCTGCCAGTTTTCATAACCTCAGATTCCTACTCCAGCTGCTGGGGGAAGAAAGGGCATCAAAGCGCCATCCTGTTCTGAACCTTACAAACCACAAGACCAAGCTGCCAGGCACAGTGTGTCCATTGCTGCACAACGCTGCATGGCACTCATGGATATAACCACAGGTTCTATTATTAGACTTGAGGTCTACTTCACAGGAAGAAAGGTGAACAAAAGATACCACAAATAGCTGTCTTATAAACAGAGCCTATAAAATTGGAGTCCACTTATAAAAATAAGATTATCTTACCTCACACACAAAAGTAAATTCAGACACATACAAGTTTTTAGTGAAAATATGACTTTGAAAAGAGTTTCCAAAGTAAAACATAAAATTGCAATGATTAATATTTTGATAATATTGAAATAAAAACAGAGGGAAAGTTGGTGAGATGGCTCAGCAGGTAAAGGTGCTTACTGACAAGCTGATGACCTGAGTTTGATTTTGGGGGGCCCACATCATGGAAGGAGAAAACTTACCATTGCAAGTTGTTCTCTGACTTCCAGTGTGCATTGTGGCATATGTGTGTACACACATTAAAAAAGGTAAATAAATGTAATTAATATAACAACTTTTAACCAGAGGATAGAGTTCAGTAGTGGTGTATTTGTCTCACATGCTTAAGGCCTTGGGTCCAATGACCAGCATTTCAAATAAACAAACAAATAAAAACCAAATATTAAAAAGTAAAATGTAGGAGTTGGAGAGGGGTCAGCAGCTAAAATCATTGGTTTCTCTTCCAGAGGACCCAGGTTCAATTTTTAGCACCCGCATTGCATTTTACAATAATCTGCTATATCCATCCCAAGGGACCTGGTGCCCTCTTTTGGACTCTACAGGCATGCACACATGTGATACACAAACATACATGTATGCAAATGCATGTTAATAAAATTGATGCTAAATAAAATCTTAAATTTAAAAAATTAAGTGTAATATATAAATAAAAGTCATTTATGAAATAAGAAACCAATCTTACCCATGACATAAAGGCAACAAAATCTCAATGTCTTAAGGCAATAAAAGTTTGTTACTTGGACATGTTGTATGTCCACAGTGATTCCCCAGATGATCTGACTCACACTGTCAGCTCAGAGGCACAGGGTAATGGAGCACCCACTTGCCCATCCTCATCAAGACTCATGCCTGAGAAAAGAACATTTATTCTGACAGCTAAATCTTCTGTTGTAGAGGCATCTTAGGTCACTGCTACTCACAGTTCATCAACAGAACTGGAACAATGGCTTTTCTTTACTGCAAGGAACTGAGAAATTCAGTCATTCATGTGCCCTAAGGGAAAAAGAAAACTGGGTATCAATAAAAGCAGGACCACTGGATACCACACTGAAAAACTATTTGTATGCAGAATATATATGTGACAAATGTATATTTAAAAGACAAACAAATTAAAAAGATGAGAAAGATACAAACTAATCCATTAAAAGAATCCCAAATGATTATTAAATGTGAAGAATAAAAAGTCCCAAAGTCACTGGAATTGGAGGAATTCCAGTTACAGATTAGCAGGTAATATCTAGTGTACAAGAGAATGTCAAAAAAAAATCAATGAAATTACACTCCATAACTGTGGCCTTTACTTTGGTACAACTGCTTTTGGTGACAACTGAAATGTTGATGAAAGGAGAAATGCCAAAACTCATTAAGTGTGCTTCTTGAACCTGTCCTTGAAAAGTTCTTATGCATAACCCAAGACAAAGAGCTGAAGGATGATTTTTTAGCTCAGTTTGCCTTGTCAATATAGGGAACACAGCTTACTTATTCTGACTATGGAAATGTGAGCTATTGCATAATGAAGTGATAAATTGTAGATTAAGTACAACATACATAAAACTCCCATTTTGTAATGAAAACTCAAGAATACACTATAGACATTTACATGGAATGGTTTTATTGCTGCAGAGTTTTACAGCTTGGGGAGATGTACAGGAATATCTGTAATTCATGCATACATGCTAACCTGAAAGGAAAGGTGTTACATGAAAAATAAATTACCTTTAGGAAAGAGGTGATAAAGGAGCGAATTTCATAATAATTTGAATGGGTTTACCTCTTAAAAGAAAAATTTAAAGAAAGCATGACACTGCTGGCATCTATTTTGAGATATTGTATATAGATGAAGACAGTATTTTCTGAACACAGACCGTCTTGCCATCCTAAAGTCCACATTGAATCAATGTCTCTTGACTCCTCTTAACACAGTTTTACCAATCCTGGTAGGACTGACTTCCTAGACTCATGTTGTCTCAGGAAGATATGGGTAGCTGTTTTATTTAGTTTCTCTGCTCCCACAACACTCAGACTTGTCCCATCTGCCCAGGTGTCTTATAACCTCATGACCTAGGCTGTGAGAGGCTCTTTCATTTCTTGTTTAAAAGTCTTCTCAGATAGAGAGTATGCCCTAGTGGTGAGACTATGGGCATGGTTGTCTGCTCATGTCACTTAAACAGGTATATTAGATTCTTTTTCTCTAAATAAAGTAAAATAATTAGAAAAATAAACAAACAAATACACAACTAACCTGGTAATTGGGGTAATTGAATGAGATAAGATATAGAATGAAATCTTGGCATTATAGAAATCTGAAATAATTCTCTCTCTATCTTCTCAGATAGCTTTTTTTAAAAATATTAATCCTCGCTTGTAAGATGTAGTAGGGCATATAAAATTATTATGTCAGCTGGTATGAAGAAGAGTTATAGAGCCAACACACAAAAAAGTCAATAAAAATACACAGTAACTTTACACTTGTTTACCCTTGCTAGGCATCTAGCAGTTTTCTCTTTGTCTTTCTGGATCTTGTATTTGGAATATTTCTCATGTATGAAGGCAGCTACCACATTTTGTTAGTCATTTACCAGGTTATGAACACCTGAGTTGTTTCTATCCTTTGGCTGTTATGAGTCATGCTGTTATGTATATTCATGCATATGGTTTTGCATATACTTTATTTCCATCTATTTTAGGAGCATATTTAAAACCAAAATTACAGAATCAGATTGTGACTTCTTTTATCATGAACACTGTTCTCCAAAGTGTCGCTCCATTTAATTTCCCTGCCACCAGTCTTGGGAGGGTTCTAATATCCCTTCCGCTGCCACCAGTGTCCATTGTCATTACTACGACTATTATCTCAGTGGGTTGGAAGTGGGATTTCATTGCGTCTTTACAATATTGTAGAATTAATTTTTAGGGATCTTTGTACTCCGAGGGTAAGTGAGCTTCCTAATGTTGGCTGCTAGGCAAACAAGATTTCATGGGTGCACAGTCAAGACTACGGCAGAGGGCCCTTTGCTAGTAAAGGACTCACAAAGGAGAGCAATGCTCTGGAGTCACTGCATTAACATTCTCAACAATCTTATCTCAGAATTTGTTTTGAAGTTTTGAGTGTGAAAGCAAAAAGTGTTGCACAGGCTTAGAGCCTTGGTTCCTACCAAGTTCACTGTCCCGACTCCTTCTCAGCTGACCGCTCTTGCCTTCTGAACTACAGCCCCGCTTCTCTTCTCATTCTTTAACTCAGGTGCCCTCTGCTGCAGGCAAAGGTTGCTCCACATTTGATTTGGAATGTATTAGAAACAAATGCAGGAATCTATACTACTTTCAGAAAGACAAGGAAGTGATTAGGGGTGCTGTGTATAGTCAATGCCTTTCAGAGGGCTATATATCAGAACAGTATCCTCTGAATGTCTCTCCTTCACTCCACTCCAAGTTCTGAGCAATTTGGAGGTTTACATATCTTTAGAAAAAGCCTGTCTATTACAGATTGGGGTGGTAAGACTATGGGAAAGGAAGGCGTTTGAATTAGTTTCTCAAACACTAACCTCCATCTCAGGATCAATTCTTTAATCCAGTGGCTGATGGGGGGAGGATATAATAAGCCCAAGCACTTCTTGTTTATCTATATACTTTGATTGTCTTTAGTTTTTTTTATTAAAAAAATAAATTTTTTTCTATTTTTCAAGAGTGTGTGTGTATGTATGTATGTGTGTGTGTGTGTATATATATATGTATATGTATATATATATATATATATAATGGAATATATATATATATATATATATGCCTGCAGAGAACATGAGCGTGGATCAGATCTCCTGGAGTTACAGAAGTTTGTGAAACCAGCAATGTACGAGCTGGGAACTGAACTCTGGTCCATGAAAGAGCAGGTGTGCAAAAATTAGCAATAAAAATTTGAAACAGAATAAATTTTAGTTTTTTATTGCTGATGTTTTTGTAAAAACACTCTTTCCACCTGATAAATATAGGCACCCTGATTTTTTTAGTCCCGATAATATTGTGTGGGTCATAGAGAGGAAGGTATTGATCCATATGTCCCTTGCAACTGCTCAGAACCATGTACAGACTTTAATGTTCTTTGGTTAGAAATGTCTTATGATTTTTAAACAAATTTAGTGCACCTTCAAAGGTCAGAAAAAACAAAGGTGCTATTACAAATAAATGAAAGAATTATCATCATGAACTTTTCATTTATCTTCTATTATATAATGACAGTTTTAAATGACAATTTAAATCAGAACATTTAAGTCTTATGAGAAAACCACCAACTTCTTAATTCATATCTAGTTACTTATTCTTGGAGTGTGCCTCAATGTTGCCAGTAAAAATAAACACAAACATGCAATTCAGGATGCATTTTCAACACAATAACTAAGCTCTACAACAAAATAAAAAATGGCTCACATTATTTTTTAATTTAATTATTTTATTAAACTGTTTCTCTCTCTTTAATGGTTAAAAAAACTGAATGCTCATCTTTAAAGTACAGAATAAGTGGAAAGTACCTATCTTTAACATTTCCATTGGAGATTCTAGCCAAAGCAATTAGATGAGCAAAACTAAAATATAAACAGATTAAAAAGAAGGACATACAAATACCTCTATTTGCAAATAATGTAATTTATATTTAGATAGTCCTAAGGAATGCACTAAAAACCTAAAAGAACTAACAAACAATTTGACAAACCTGGAAGATACAAAATTAATATAAACAAAAGAAAAATTAATTTCTATAGAGTAGTAATAAACAAACTGAAAATGAAATTAAGAAAATTGCATTTAGAATATCTTGAAAAATAACTGAGTGTTCAAGTTTAGCAAAATAAAAAGGTAAGACTTCATTGCACACTGATAGGATCCTGTTTCATACTAGTCTGCTTGCTCTTACTTGGATCCGACATCCCTGTGATGGTAATGACATGGTCTTCAGATCTTTCTACATGTTCATCAGTTTAGAAGAAGCTCCCAACTCCTGATGGATTTAGTTTGCGCGTCTAAAGAGGGCCTTGGAGGACCAGCCTCAGTGCCTCCTCTGGGTTCAGAGAGAATGCTACAGCAAGGGGAAGACTAAGAGAAATCCGAGGACAAATGAATAAACTTTCTCACATGTGCTTTTTCAAGAAAGTCTCTTTAACCTTTTGCTTTTATTCTAATATCCTGTCCTACTTCTACTTTCTAGTGCCTTCTCCTAATTTATTCTTCCTCTATTCTAAAAGCTCTTCTCCTTCAGGAGCCTTGATGTGATGAAGAAATTACAAGAGTTGAAACACAGCCTGCTACTACTCAGAGAGGATGAAGAGGTGAGTGACCAGTCACCTGGCAGGACACCCCACTTTCTGGGTCTTCCATACCCAGATAAAACTCCAGCCACCCCCCCCACCTACCTCGGTTTCTTTAACCAGCCAATAGGAGAGTTTTCTGCAGGTAGTCTGCTCTAATATCCCCATTTCATCCATTGGACCCTGTAAGCTACAAGTCCCATCCTGCCCCCAAACTCACCTATTCCCCTGTAACCTCAGGGGAACTTTGATACACAGCCTGTTACTACACAGAGAGGACCAAAAGGTGAGTGACCAGCTACCTAGCAGGACAACCCATTCTCTAGGCCCTCCATCCTGGGGCAAAACCCTGGGTCCCTCCCATACTGGCCTGGGTTTCTATAGCCAGCCAGCAGGTAAGTTTCTTGTAGGTAGGCTGCTCCAAAACCTCTATCACATCCCTCAGATTCCTGAAAGTTCCAAGCCCCTAAACCCTCCATCACTTTTCCCACAACCTCAGAGACACATTGAACACAAGCTACAACTACACAGAGAGGACCAAGAGAGAAGACCAGAAGAGGAACTATGAAGCACAAGCTGAGACTGCACAGAGTGGACCAAGAGAGCAGACCAAGAGTACAGGCCAAGAGAGAGGGCCAAGAGAGGCCTTAGTGGTTCCCTGAGACACAGACAGTGACAGTACAGAGCAGACCAGGAATAATTCCCAGGACACAGACAGCTAGTTCAAGAATTGGAACATGACACAAAGACACAACTGGCATCAGATGAAGGAAAAGATGATAGGCACCAATGCAAGAATTCATCCAACAATCTAAAGAGCAACATGGAAACATCAGAATGCAGTGGTTACACAACAGGAAGATTTGATTATCCTAAATCAGAAGAAGCAGAAGAAAACAATTTTAAACATAACTTTATGAAGATGATGGAGACCTTTAAAGAGGAAATGAAAAACTTCCATAAAAATGGATGAAAAGACAAACAAAAAATTGGAAGAAATTAATAAATTTTTCAAAGAAATCAAGGAAAAAACAATTACACAGGTGAAGCAAATAGTTCAAGATGTGAAGACTGAAATAGAGGCAATAAAGAAAACCCAAACTGAGGGAATTCTGGAAATGGAAAATCTGGGTAAATGAATGGGAACTATAGAGGCAAGCATTATCAACAGTATACAAAAGCTGTAAGAGAGAATCTAAAGTTTTGAAGATATTATAGAGGAAATAGATTCATTGGTCAAAGAAAACATTAAATCCAACAAACCCAAAACATCCAGGAAATCTGTGGCACCATGAAAAGACCAAACCTACCCAAAATAATCACACAGAAACTGTATTAATTAAATCACTGCTTGGCCCATTAGCTCTAACTTTTTATTGTCTAACTCTTACATCTTAATTTAACCCATTTCTATTAATCTGTATATTGCCACATGGCAGTGGCTTACTGGGTAAAATTCCCAGTGTCTGTCTCCGATGACTCCATGGTATCTCTCTGACTCCACCCTTCTTCCTCCCAGCATTCAGCATAGCTTTCCCAGCCTACCTAAGTTCTGCCTTGCTATAGGTTCAAAGCAGTTTCTTTATTCATTAATGGTAATCACAGCACACAGAGGGGACTCCCACATCATAGACCTATCAGAATTACATCCAACTTCTCAGTGGAAACCATGAAAGCCAGAAGGTCCTGGGAAGATGTGCTGCATACACTCAGAGATCATGGATACAAGCACAGACTACTATTCTCATCAAATCTTTCAATCACTGTTGATGGAGAACAAAAGATATTCCATGACAAAATCAGACTTAAGCAATGTCTATCCACAAATCAAGCCCTACAGAAAGTCCTCGAAGGAAAACTCCAACCCAAGGAAGCGAACTGCATCCACAAAAACACAAGCAACAGATAACCTCACACCAAGAAAACCCAAAGAGGGGAAACACATACACATTACCACAGAAAAATAAGAGGAGTTAACAATCATTGATCATTAGTATCTCTTAATATCAATGGATTTAATTCACCTATAAAAGGACACAGGCTATGAGAATGGGTACAAAAGCAGGATCCAGCCTTCTGCTGTATACAAAAAATATACCTCATCCTCAAAGACAGATATTACCTCAAAGTAAAGGGTTTGAAAAGTATTTTCCCAATCAAATGAACCTAAAAAACAAGCAGGTGTAGCTATCATAATATCTAACAAAATAGACTTCAAACTAAAACCAATCAAAAGAGACAGAGAAGGACACTTTATACTCATAACAGGAACAATTCATCAAGATGAAATCTCAGTCCTGAACATCTATGCCCCAAATACAAAATGGTCCAGTTATATAAAAGAAACACTGCAAAAGCTTAAATCACACATCAAACCCCACACACTAATTGGAGGAGACTTCGACACCCCACTCTCCCACATGGACAGGTCAACCAGACAAAACCTTAACAGAGAAATAAGAGAATTCACAGATGTCATGTCAAATGGACTTATCAGACATCTACAGAAATTCTACCCAAATGTAGCAAGGAAGCTGCTTGTTGGTTCCCTGCTTCCCAGCTAGCTTAGACTCAAAATATTCACACAAAACTATAAAACACTGCTTGGACCTTTAACTCTAACTTCTTATTGGTTAATTCATATATCTTAATTTAATCCATTTCTAGTAATCTGAGCTTTACCATGAGGTAGTGGCCTACCAGCAAAGTTCCAGCATGTCTATCTCTGGTGGTGGCTCCATGTTGTCTCTCTGACTCTGCCCTTCTTTCTCCCAGCATTCAGTTTAGTCTTCCCCACCTACCTAAGTTCAGGCCAAGGCAGTTTCTTTATTCATTAATCAATAAAAGCAACACATAGACAGAATGACCTCCCAAATCATCCTCTTTTCTGTTTAAACAAAAAGGAAGGCTTTAACTTCAACATAGTAAAATTACATATAACAAAATAGTTATCAAGCAAGAATTACAATATTTATATCTACTTTATCTTTTATCATAACTAAGGAAAACTATATCTGTTCTTCAACTCCATCAAAGACTCCAGAAGGGTATAATATTACTTAAGTAAGCAGGAAATATTTGTAAGGAACTTCCAAAACTCTAGAGTTGACAGATCAAAGACCTCAACATAAAGTCAGCCACACTGAACCTCATAGAAGAGAAAGTAGAAAGAACACTTGAACACATTGGCACAGGAGACCACTTTCTAAATATAAACCCAGTAGCACAGACACTGAGAGAAACAATTAATAAATGGAACTTCCTGAAATTGAAAAGATTCTGTAAAGCAAAGGGCACAGTCAACAAGACCAAACAGCAACCTACAGAATGGGAAAAGATCTTTACCAGACCCATATCAAACAGAGGGCTGATCTCCAAAATATACAGAGAACTCAAGAAATTAGTCATCAAAAGAACAAATAATCCAATAAAAAATGGAGTACAGATCTAAACAGAGAACTCTCAATAGAGGAATCTAAAATGGTTGAAAGATACTTAAGGAAATGCTCAACATCTTTTGTCATCAGAAAAATGCAAATCAAAACAACTCTGAGATTCCATCTTACACCTATAAGAAAGGCCAAGACCAAAAACACCGATGACAACTTATACTGGAGAGGTTGTGGAGTTAAGGGAACATTTCTGCATTGCTGGTGAGAGTGTAAGCTGGTACAACCCCTTTGGATATGAGTATGGCGGTTTCTCAGAAAATTAGGAAACAACCTTCCTCAAGACCCAGTAATACCACTTTTGGGTGTATATCCAAAGGATGCTCAATCATACCATAAGGACATGTGCTCAACTATGTTCACAACAGCATTGTTTGTCATAGCCAGAACCTGGAAACAACCTAAATGCCCCTTGACTGAAGAATGGATAAGAAAAATGTGATATATTTACATAATGGAGTGCTACACAGCAGAAAAAAATAATGACATCTTAAAATTTGCAGGCAAATGAATGGAGCTAGAAAACATCATATTGAGGGAGATAACCTGTAGTGCCTGTGCTACGTGACAGTTCCTGAGTCAGGCAAGGGGCTGGAGATTAAAGCACACAAGAGACATGGGTCATTTATAAAGAGAGAATGCAGAATACCATTTATTCATGCTTAGAGAAAGCCTTATACACCTAACTGCTGCACAGTGGAAATTTCCCAGGCAGGTGGGAAATTACCAGGCTCAAGACAGAGCAAACAACTTCCCTGTAGCTAACGAGCAGTGTGGTTAGAGCAAGCACAGGAACAAACAATATATTTTATCAAAAACTGCAACAAGATGTTTTGCCAGAAACTACAAGCTATCCTCATTATGAACGCTGGGAGAAGGGGTAGATCTGTGGACCCTACAGTAACCCAGACCCAGAAAGACAAATATCTCATTACTCACTCATAAGTGCTTTTTAAATATAAATCAAAGAAAACCAGCCTACAAATCAAAACCCAGAGAACCTAGACAACAATGAGGACCCTAAGGGAGACATACATGGATCTCATCTACATGGGAAGTAGCAAAAGAGAAGATCTCCTGAGTAAATTGGGAGCATGGGGACCATGGGAGAAGGTTGAAGGGGAGGGGAAAAGAAGGGAGAAAAGCAGGAAAAATATAGAGCTCAATAAAAATCAATAACTAAAGAACTCAAGAAATTAGACATCAAAATCCAAATAACCCAATTAAAAAATAGTGGTAGAGAACTAAACAGAGAATTCTCAACAGAAGAATCTCAAATGGCCAAAAAACACTTAAGGACATGTTCAACATCCTTAGCCATCAGGGAAATGCAAATCAAAACAACTCTTACACCAGTCAGAATAGCTAAGATCAAAAATACCAGCTTATGCTGGAGAGGATGTGTAATAAGGGGATCACGCCTCCATTGCTGGTGGAAATGCAAACTTGGACAGCCACTTTGGAAAATCAGCATGATGATTTCTCAGAAATTTGGGAATCAACCTACCTCAGGACCCAGCAATACCACTCTTGGGCATATACCGAAAAGATGCTCAATCATACTACAAAGAC